ATCCCCAATTTTGAACTTAAATAGCCTCACTTTTCTGTTGTTAAATTGTTTATGAATTTTACATTATTTTAATGTTAAATAGGATAATAAATGTGGTTATTCAAAAAAAAATTATTAAATATCTTTTACACGTACATGTATGTCGACACAATGCATCTCACTGAACTTGAAATAAAAGAATATCACAAAGTCTGATGCATCTGTTTCACATTTTACTATAGTTAAGGTTTCATCAAAGATCAAAATATTATTTTTTCAATAGCTCCAAAACTATGCAGTTTATAAAGTTGAAACATTTACAGCTTATAAATATATATCATTAATGAACAGATAGAAAGTACCATTTGAAAACAAATACTGAATGAAAATATTTATCGAGAAAAAAATCTTTTTAAAAAATGCCTTTATTTTTTTTATAAATACATGTACACCTAATTAGTTAAGCGCTTTTAGTGAAAGCCATCATTGAAGATAAAAATATTTTTGTATCCCAAAATTTTCCATGACTAAATAACTTTAAAGTATTCCACTTAAGTATAGTAGCGTGGTCCCTTTTCACACCCTTGGTTTACTGGATAGATAGTAGAAACGGGTATTTTGGTTGATTTCATTGTGTATAACAAAGTCTTTCTAATAAAATCATTGTGCATTCATATTGAATTATTAAACATATAAAAAAAATACAAGCAAAATTTTAACACCCATCGCGCTAAAAAATGCCGGAACTTTTCCCCTCCATTAGACTACGGTTTTTCTGTTACATGTAAATGGGCGGAGACATTCAAATAAGATATACTATAAAAGAATATCCGTGATATATAATATTATAACTTTCAAAGACGAATTATAGGTTCAAGATTCACAATCAACAACGAATACAATTTTCTATTCACAAAGCAATGTGAATGAACCACTACAACAAGATTAACCAAACAAGTTCATATGCTGACCGATACATGATCGACTGAGTACATTTCAACTTGAGTGCTTGCTAGCACGTTTACTGTGGACATTTACCTGTAACGACACAAATCGATGTGGCTTGTTGTGATTCGAAACAGGTCATAATCGCATGTAAATGAAGACAGCGACGAGGCTCAAAATCACAATACTTTTAATTGGAAAACATAGAGCACAAGGTTGTTCAACAAAGATATTTTTACTCAACCTTTACACATATAATATAAACATTATATATCAAACTCAAATCTGAACAAACCTGTGCTCGGTGTTTACGAAAGCTTGAAAGTGTGTACCTGTCAGTGATTTCTTTTGATATTTTGAAAATCAAAGAACCCCAACTTCAAAACGCAGCTTCGTATGCTGTGTATATCTATCATTTGACATTTTTATATGCAGACTCAAATAATAAAGACATTTATTATTAATAACATTTAATTTTTAAAGCCTTTGATAAATGTTCGAAATTTGACGAGTAACCGGGGACCATAGATAAGCCTTAAATGAGACTTGTCCTTTCATTCCATATTTTGTTTCCATAGTATTTCTTTCTTTTTGTCAACATGAAACAACCAGTTATGTTCTCCAGTGAGTCTGAGTTCATTTGCAATGAAAAACAGAACAACTTATTTTTGTGAGAAAGGTCATTTATTCAATCATTATATTTGATCAGATGATGAAAGTAATGTCAAACATTGATAAACCTAAAATGACTGAATAAATTACAATAATTTTCCAAAGTGGGGTTAAAAAAACGGCCCCACCCAGCAATAGAAATACATGTACTAACATGAGTAAAAAATAATGTTATACAATTATAAGTTGAAAAACGGGTTGAATGAAAAAATTACAATTTGAAACACAGGTTTTACTAGAATATTGTATGTGCATGAGTTGTAAAATGAAAAAAAATATAGATATACATGTAACAATAATAAATGTACAGAATAAAAGCAAAAAAGTACAGTTTGTTTGTGATATAAGACATCTGATTTTACATAAATTAATTTTAGGGTGATGGAGGGTGGGTAAGTTGAATTCTTGTAAAAAATTTAGGTGCGTCCAGCAGCTGTTAAAACAAAGAAGTGAATTATTGAGATTCCTCTGACCAAGATAAGATTTCAGTATAGGTGTACTTCGAGCTAATTGGACAATTAGCTAATTGGATTAACCATGATGGCTATTGCATACACAGAGTCCCTGCTATGCCAGGTTGCAAATTCCATCTGTTGACTTGTGTAATTTTCACCAGTCAATAATACACAATAATATAATAAAGCCAACAATAAATGATGCCAGTGGCGGATTTAAGGGGGGGGGGGTTGCGCCCCCCTAAAATTATCAAAGTTAGCATAAAACAGTTTTGTCTAGAAAATGTTTAAAATGTCTACTCGGTAGACCTCATTTTTACCCTAAAAAACCTCTACAATCCCCAGACCCCCTGGCTAAATCTTGCGCCCCCCCCCCAAAAAAAAAAAATTTCTGGATCCGCCCCTGGATGCCCCTACATGTCTGGTGGCTAATTTCAAGACCTTGTTCATTTATGTTATCAATGATGAGTATATAATTATAATTTATAGGTTTATCAATGATGGGCAAGTTGGATTTCGATCGCCTCCGGAAAGTTGTTTTCCCTGTTTATTTTTCCAAATGTTACATTGAAAATGACGGATTTTAAAAGGGTCTTGTCTTTATACATGCAATGCTTTAAATAAGAGCCATTCAAAGACCATTCACGTCTAACTTGTCCCTTTACTGATAAACATATATTATTTCTACAATGATGGTTTTCATTTAAAGTACAGAATTATGCAGGTGCATTTTCTGAAAATATGCAAATTTGTTAATGTATATTTTCTCGATAAAAATATTTTTTTAAATATTTGTTTTCAAGTGATACTCTCTATCTATTTAACAATGATGCATTTATAAACTGTAATAGTTTTAACTTTATACCTCACATTGTTTTTGAGCTATTGTAAAAATAATTTTTTGGACATTTTGACCTTTGATGAAACCTTAAAGTCGATAACGGTAATCTAAAAACAAAGGTTTATGATAAACGTGATAGTTTCCACATCTTATATATAAGGCTTATATAGACAATTTCCAAAACGAGGTAAGTTTTTAACGAACACCTTGTCACTAAATGTAATTGAACATATGGAAATAAAATATGTAAACGAGATCAAAAGTCCATAAAACATTTCAAAACAGGAGTAGAGCAAACACGGCCCTCCAAAACATCAGAGGTGGGACCAGGTGCTATGGAGGAGTATAATCTCTTTTTAAGCCAAATGCTGATTGGTGTTTTCATACTAATAGTTAGGCTTTCTTTTACACACTGAATTATCTCGTTTTTTTTCCATTGTTTGGACAAGGAACATACGGCGGATGTCACCGATTGGCAAGGCATGCTTACTACTCTATAACATTTGATCCCGCCTCTGATTTTTTTAGAGGTCCGTGTTCGCCCTGTTTATAAAAGTTATTGTTTTAATGGAATTTTGATCTTGAATACTGATATTTTTCTACAAATATTCCATATTCAAAAGGTGATATGAATTTATTTCATTTATTCAAATAGCTGTTCAATATCACATTTTTGAATAATTGACATGAGGCATGTAATTTCAAACTGGTACATATACATGTAATACTTCATAGAGATAACGAATAGTATCCAAGCTCAAAAGTCCTTTCAACAATTCAAATCGGGAGCAGAGCAAACACATGAATCTAAAAAGAGGTCTGTCTATCAGAGGTATATAGAGAAGCAAGCATCAGCCGGTTACACCAACAGTTGGTATTGATTGTGATATAATTACATGTATTATTTTTATTATTGCATAAAATTATCATATTATATTATTTAAAATTATGCACATAATAAATTTTACAAACTGAAAGGAAATTCTTTAGGGGGCGGGTTGGGAGGGTTCGAGACCGTTGATTGTTTTATTCCTGTTTTTTGTTGTGACTTATGAAGATTCATAGCACGAATGTTACATAATGAAGAGATTAAATTTTCACTGGCTGTAATAAGAATCCTTAGAAAAATACAAAATAATCGTAATTCTTAAGCCTCTTGTCTTTACTTGACATTTGATATTATGCGAAAGGAAATTTACTTTCTGATAAAAGTCATCCGGAAAAAAAACGGTAACGGTAACTCTTCATGTTAAGGTGGTTTACGTTCAGACAAATCGAGATTTCCGTAACAGTTTATATATTTCAAGAAGATTTCGGCTCTTAAAATAAATTTTAAGAACTGAAAAAACATAATTTTAAATATTCCTAAGTTCAAATATGTCTAAAAGCATTCTCTTTGGGCATCATAGTGTTATTAATGAACTTTTGCGAGAAGCACCGACTTTTACTGTTGACGGGTCACTTTGACATTCAATCCTGTATCATGTACGGAAGTTCAGAATTGATTCCATGTATAGATGAGAAAACCTTTCTAGTGGTCAAAAGTATGGTGTTGGGGGCATTAACATATGAAGGCCGGGAGTTGAGGGTAGACTGGTTGTCGTTTTCTTCAGGGACAACTTGTCTGTGCTTTAAAAAAAACCGTTATTTTCTTTGAATAAAATGTTGACCTGAAGATTTATATTGTAAAAGAGCATACAAACATTGTCTTGGTGTAAAAGTAAGCCATCAACTGTAAAAGTCAGCACTCCTTCCAAAAGTCTATTAACTTTACTTAGAGGGTTTCAATACTTTTAACGTTAATGTTACAACGACATCGAAATAAAAATTACGATAAGAAGACGAGGCAAAAATAATTCAAAACGTGAAAACATTCAAAGATTAGGTTTTTAATTTACTAAAACCCAGGTAAGCAAAAAATCCTCCCCTGAATAAAATAACCCCTTTCAAGACACTACGATGGACCCAACTGGAACGCACTAAAATAGTTAGCGTAGTTAAGGCCTTGAAATATGCCACCATACTAATAAACTAATGTATTTCGAAGCAGTTAAGAACGGTGCATTTTTGAATATCATTTTTGTTTATCTGACCATGTTATCTCAAGCTTGCATTTAGTTGCACCATGACGGACACTGGTAACTTCTTCTGCACAAAACCTCAGACATTCTGTTAGCGAAATTGTGACAGTTATTCGAAACTACGTTGTATCCACCGTACTCATTTTGATAACGCCTAACACATCGTTCGATACAATCCAAACTTAGGTAGCTGTATCCAGCTGGATATCTTTCGGTTTTTCCTCTGCAATGTTCATCTAAACGACTATATCCACTTCTCGAACCGGACCCTAAATGGAAAATTGATAAGAATGCATTGATCAGATTATTACTTATGTAGACATGCATAGCCAGTGTCCTGCTAAACGAATGGCCATTTGAATAAAATAAAAAAGTCTTATTTTGGGGGGCTAAAAGCAGTACTTTGATTATATGTATTCACTGATAAAAAGTTCACTATATATCATTCATTGTAAAAAGGGGTTTTAATATTGTATGTAGCAATAACAAATTTTAATTTTAATTAATAATTTGTTAGAAACGCCAATACTAAGAAATTTCATGAGGAAAAATACGAAAGGATAATAAATCAGTAAGTATTTTTCGTATATGCGTTATTAGGTATCTTGAAGTCAAAATTATTAAAGCTGCAAATCGTGTGCTTTTTCATTCAAATTTACACAATATATCATTCAGGAATAAGGTAAAAAGTGGAAGTAAGCATTTTGAGAAAAATAAATATTCTCTCCTCACACAAAATCAACGTAATAAGAATCTGCCGGAAAATCAAGGGTCGTACTACTTAGACCTGTTTACTTGTACCACGTGATTTCTAAAATGGCACGTGCATACAATGTAGGGTTTACAATTAGAATGTAATATTAGTTAAAAGCTATTCTCAGAATCAAAATATCTTAACTCTCCGGTTAATTTTTTAGTTTGCATTCAGACGAATCTAACATGATAAAGTACAAATGTTGACGCTTTGTGTATTGGGGTGCTGGAAAGGAAAATCCACCAAATCATACTTCATCGCGGCAAAATGTCAAACAAAATCTTTCTGCAGTTCCAATACAATTTGCACTTCTTATCGCAATAATTTTTATATGTCATAAGTGCATTTTTATGTTGAGTTTAGGCTGATTTTTTTTCTTTGAAAGCTACGGAGATACGAGAAATGATAGCATGTATCAACAAACCTGTAGGGTAGAACCTTCGCGAGCCCAACGTGAATGTCGCCGAGGTCCCGTTTCTTCTTAGTCCAATAATTATATTAATCTCCCTACTAATTTTTTGTCAGGAAAGTTGTTTTTTAGTTTCAATCCCTATTTTTGGTTTTGTGTTTCGTTTTGGTCAACTTTGTCAATGTAGCAGGCCTACCGGGATTCCCTCTCTTACCATGCTGTTTTGTTTATGAAAACTATACGCATGCGTCATGTGCGTGTATAGCATGGAATTTGGAACCTCGAACACGTTGCGATGTATATAGTTGTGTACCATAAATAATTATTAATTTTAATGAAATAGTCAGAATTATTTACTTATAAAATTTGTAATTTTCGGAAAGTGTATACATTTATGAGTATGAAAAAAATTCCAAATCCTATAGGAAAATTTTAACAAGTCTGTTTTTGAAGAGATGCGTGATATTGCCACTTTAAGCTTCTACATGTGACCTGTTTCGGCAAGATGGGACATGAAACTCCTTGAATGGCTCCTTCTTAGCACACTAACCTCGGACATAAATGGTGTTTCACCTTCTTAATTATTCAGTCACGTGATCTTATTTGAATTTCGTTTAAATGTAATACTGTTGAAATACGTTATTTTGTGGCACGCATATAACTATGTTCTTGCTTTTAAAGCCTGCGTGGCGCAGTGCTCATAGCATCTGCTCTAGAGTCGCGAAATTCAGGAAATCCATCCGCACGTCGCAGGTTTGAATTCCAGAGTGGGACGTGGAGTTCGGTCCTTTGGATGACACCGTATGAACTGAGGCCCCGTGTCGCAGTAAGTGCTGGTATGTAAAAGACCCTTAACTGCTCAAAGGCACTTATTGCCGAGCATAGGAAAAAAATTGCACCTCTCCACCTGCAAGTGATAACGTCTCCATATGAGTGAAAAATTCTCGAGAATGACGTTAAATAACATATAATCAATCAATCAATCAATCAATCAATCAATCAAAGGCTACTAAGATATAGATGTACTTAAAAGCAATATGAAGAATTAGATAATTAACAAGAGGCCCATGGGCCACATCGCTCACTTGAGCACTGTGACTATGAAAAAAACAGAAATCAGTTTATTATTAAAAAGTTTAAACCAAAAAGTGGTCCTAACCAATCCTTAAAGGCCTGGGGAGAGGGTATGATTTGAATAAACTTGAATCTACACTTCTCTCTCTTCGACAGCCTGTGGCTTTATTGATCTTTACATTTGAACTTACATTGTGCCCCCCTACCCAGATAAAATATGCCACATCATGGCTTTGCTGTCTTTGAAAAAATCCTATATATTCCTAAGTAAAACTGTGCTCATCCATTGTGGTCCGACCCTACCTCCAGGGGTCATGACTTAAAACTACACTACCTGAGGATGCTTTCATATAAATAGGACTAATTATAGCTTTGCTGTTCTTAAGAAGAAGATTTTTAAAGAATTTTTCCTATATATTACTATGTAAAACTTGGATTTGTGGCCCCAAACCTATCCCCAGGGCTCTTGATTTTAACAAACTTGAATCTACACTACCTGAGAATACTTCCATATAAATATGACTAATCATGGCTTTGCTATTCTTAAGAAAAATATATATAAAGAGCCTACCTATATTTTTCATGTGGTTTTTATGTGGATTTTGGAGACCAAGTATTCCAACAATCTATTGGAATTCCCATGGGTACAAATTGCGCTCCGTTATTAGCAGACTTATTTTTATATTCATATGAAGCAGAATTTATGCAAAATCTTTTGCGTGAAAAGAAGAAAACACTTGCTGTGGCCCTCAACTCGACATTTAGATATATCGACGACGTATTGTCAATTAATAATGATAATTTCCATTCCTACGTCGACACGATATATCCTGGTGAGCTTGAGATAAAAGATACCACAGAGTCCGACACTTCTGCTTCATACTTGGATATTTTACTTGAAAAAGACACTAATGGTAATCTAACAACCAAGCTATATGATAAACGTGATGACCTTAACTTTTCTATCGTCATCTTCCCTTACTTATGCAGCAATATACCTTCATCACCTGCATACGGAGTATTTATATCTCAGTTGATTCGATACGCAAGAGCATGCTCTACGTATGAACAATTTCTTAAACGAGGTAAATTATTGACAAGCAAGTTGATGAAACAAGAATATCAACAGTCTCGTTTAAAGTCATCATTTCGTAAATTCTATGGTCGATACAATGACCTTGTCAGCAAATACAATTTATCATTGAATGAAATGCTGACTGACGTTTTTCATACCAATTGTTAGTCCATTATTTATACACTGAATTGACCACGGATTTTTTCCGTGATTTTCTGATTATGACAACGAGCACACGGCGGGTGTGACCGGTCGGCAGGGGATGCTCACTCCTCCATGGCACCTGATCCCACCTCTGATGTTTCGGAGGTCCGTGTTTGCTCTGCTCTTATTTTGTATATTTGTTTAATGGACGTTGAGATCGAATACTGTTTGTTATTTCCATATCCTTCTCAATGTAAAACTTTGATCGGCCATTGAAGCCCCGCCCTACCCCGGGGGCCATGATTTGAACAATGTTGAATCTACACTACCTGAGGATGCTTTCATATAAATATGACCAATCATGGCTTTGCTGTTCTTGAGAGGAAGATTTTTGAAGAATTTTAAATATGGAAAGAATTTTCATATTTCTATGTAAAACTTTGATCGGCCATTGTGGCCCCACCCATCTTCCGGGGGTCATGATTTGAACAAACTTGAATCTACACTACCTGAGGATGTTCCCACAAATTTTAACTTTCCTGACACAGTGGTTCTTTATGAGATTTTAAAAAATATGCCACTAAATTTTCACAGTTTCTTAATTATCTCCCCTTAAAAGAGTGCGTGATCCTTCATTTGATTAACTTGAATCTCTTTCACTCAAGAATGTTTTGTGGCAAGTTTAGTTAAAATTGGCCCAGTGGTTCTTGAGAAGAAGTCGAATGTGAAAACTTTACAGACGGAAGGACGGAAATACAGACTACAGACAAAACGTAATCAGAAAAGCTCACTTGAGCTTTCAGCTTAGGTGAGCTAAAAACCTTATTGAAGAACTTTATGCAGAGCGAAATTTGATCATGAAATGTGTTACAAGGCAGTTTCCAGCTGAAAAATGTGTCGACCTGATGCGTATTCCTCCACCAACCATATATGAGGTTTGAATGGAGCGTAGCGGTGTTAGCCGAGCATTCCATATTGTAGGAGGAAACAATCGGCAACCCTCGTCTAACTCCGCTACGCTCCATATAAACAATGGATGTGATTGATGGAGGATTACGCATCAGTTCGATACATTTCTCAGCCGGAAACTGTCTTGTAATACATCTCATATTTGACTTTGCATAAACTTCCTCAAAAAGTTACGTAATTTGCCTAATTCTTCATTGTATATTGGTTTTGATTACAACCTTTTTTAGTAGGTCTCAAAAGCAGAAAAATGTTGAACGCGCACCAATTCACTCAAATTCAAATAAAATCACATTATTGAATCTGCAAGATGGTGGAATACCTTTCTAGCATCTACTTTTTGACGTTCAAGGTCGGTGTGCGAGGTGCGAGCCATCCGAGGAAATCTTAGTGAGGTGGGAATGGTGTACAGGAAATTAAAAGGAGATGGAAATTAATTCAGATGATTTATAGCCTGTTTAAATTGACTACAGGTAAACTGTTTAAAAATGTGATGGTAAAAATATGGGGGGGGGGGGTAGACTTTGAAAAAATAAACAAAAAATACTTGTAAATTCACAAAGTAAATTCGTGATACATAAAAAATGAAATTTAACTAAAGGTTAAGATTGTTATGACTTTGTATAAAAACTGAATGATATGTATTTTACATTTAGAAACAAGTTATGAATAACCTGATTAAGAATAATTATAATAACAATAATTATAAAAATAATAATATGGTAAAAAAAAATATATAAATGTAAGCGATTTCAATTCTGTTTCAGTATATTTTTTTGTATATTTATTCTCTGCAATACTTTGTCTTAAAAAAACGTTATTCCATTATATGTATATGCACTATAAAATTGCTAATTTACTTATTATTTTTATAATAACTTGACATAAATATGTAAACAATTGATATATTGAACAACATATATATAATCATGTTTCTCTATTATTATCTTTGTACTGTTTTTGTATTGTTGTTATTTAAAAATCCTGAATAAAATCTTATTAAAAAAAAAAATAAAAAAATAAATGTAAGCGAGAAAAATTGTTAATACATTTTTCTTAAGAAAAAACTTACATGTACTTGAAAATTCAAAATATTTCCCTCTGTAGTATATATAACGATGGGTATCATCCCATGTCCCTCTCAAAGGCACACTGCGTTTCCCTTTCTGCCTTCCTTTCAGCATGCATCCGAGGTGTGTTGTACCAAAGTAATACGGCCTTGCATTACCTGTAAAAATTCAAAGCTTTTTAAAAATTTGATACAATTTTATTTTAATAAAGTAATCATAAAAATAAAATAAGAAAAAGAAATGTTTATATATATATATATATATATATATATATATATATATATATATATATATATATATATATATATATATATATATATATATATATATATATATATATATATATATATATATATATATATATATATATAATACTTTTTACTGTTCCTTACATATTCAAGTCACTGTCAGGGGGAGCTTTCATTATTTTCAATAACAGAAAAAGAATTAAACCTACTCACTATTAAATTATACCTTTCTTTAATTCTCTTGTGGATATGTTTCTATTGTTTCTTCAAATCAATTGTACCTATCTTTAATTCAATTTTATCTATCTTCAAACGAATTGATAATGGGTATGATTCAATTGAATTAGAGATATGTATAATTCTGTTAAGGATAGGGTTAATTTATTTGAACCTAGGTCTAATTATTTAGAGATGGGTTAATTATTTCCACCCATTTTAAATTAATTTAGACCTATCTTTAATGCAATTGTACCTATCTTTAATTCGTTTGAAGATACGTGTAGGTTCAATTATTTTAAAAACAGGTTCAAATATTTGAAGATAGGTACAAACATTTGAATATATGTTTATTTGGCGTTCTATACATATTGTTATTTTAAACTTTCTTGGTAGAGATACATAAAAAATCAAATCTTTTTATGATAATAAACTTTGTATATGAATTCATGTATACATGTACACAGAAAGTCAATGCGCAAGTCAGAATTTTTGTTGTATTAACAATTTGCAAAAGAGATATTTGCATTCATATCATTGATACCCTTTCGTGTTTGTTAAAAGTTTAAACTCCATTATACATACTTTATGAACACAACTTAAACACATCAGAACATAATGAATTGTTTTATAGTAAAGCAATAATTATAGCTGGCGGTTTACCCACCTCTTCTTGGACATCCTCTGCTGTTTCCGCTTTTCACAAACCACCAACTTTCAACAGAGAGGAACAGCGTACATATGAACAGAAGACGACAAATCTGGAAAAAAAATGCATTTGTTAATGTTTTAAACATCCAAATTATGACATCTTTTACCTGCAGCAAAATAACTTACCAAAACAAATCTCATTTTGTTTGTCTGAAGATCACCTAACCAAGTCTATGTGAATGATCTGAAGCGTTTGCTGAATTCTAAAGAATGTTAAATTGAAAGCTCTAAATGATCTTATATATATACTATCAGTCATGAACATGGAATTCCTGTTTTTTCTTCTGATATACAATACATCCAATGAGACTGCAGAAAACTATATTGAAAAATACCTGTGACTTGTGACTATTTAAATGCAATATTGTTCTAAGAAAATTAAATCTTCCTGATTTATCAAATTGAAACAAATTAACCTAAGTGTTATATATACCAATTTGCGTAAAGACAATCAAAATGTTATTCATAAGTGTTCTCAGAAACTGTGGTAATAAAAATTCATACTTAAAAATACTGTTTGCAAGTGACATTAATGTGGAAAAACAAATACTTTTTAAGTAATAAATTAATAGTTCAGCTTTATGGAATAAGTATTTCTTTCTGAGACCACATGCTTATACGAATGCCAATAAAGCATTTTGGAATGCCTTTTTGAACTGAGGGAATAGTTTGGATTTACGTTTTATCCAAGATATTTCATATAAAAATGCAATATTTGGAATTTGTACAAGTACTTATATCAACAAGCCTCTGAATTACTGTTTATTTTTAGGAAAAATACCCTGTTTATACTTTTAGAAATGCAAAAGAGATTTGCGAATGAAACTTGAATTTTATGGTTTTAAAAAAGATGTTAAAGGAAAAACTATATATTGATTTTAAAAATTCTATACTGTATTACGAAAAATTAGAAGATTTTTACGGTAAATGGCAAGAATTACTAGAAAATCTGAAAAACCTATTTTAAGAATTCTTATATTTGATTAAGCCAAAAACATATTTATTAGACTTGTATATTATTTCAGATAATTTTAAGTGTATTAGAGACATTGATTATATTTTCAATCTGCAATGTTACATGTATGGATTTTATCGTAATTTGTAAAATGTAAGAGCCATTAAAAAAGGATGTGCTGAAAAATATTTTAGTATAAAATTTTATTAAATCACTTTTTGAGAACATTTTTGAGTGATATAATCATTTATTCAAATAGCTTTATGAGAAATGGACATGAGGCATGTCCATATCTCTTACAGATCTTGAGATACAAGGTGCGACGGACGGACGGACAGAAAGACATCGGGTAAAGTGATCCCTTAGTGCCGCTCTGCTCCGCAGGCGACACAATAAGTGAACCCACGTTATTCAGAGAGAAACTAGCGTTCTATTGAAATAATATAATTTTCCGAAATATTTTGCTGAAATATTGCATTTATTATTCTTCATAATTTGCCCGATATTAGAAAACTGGATTTACTTTCAATTATCTTTTCTATTTTGACACATCTGTTTGGTATTTGTGTATTTTTCTAGTAAAAGGCGTTAATGGTAATCTAAACTCAAAGCTTTATGATAAACGTAATGACGTAAACTTTTTACATCCTCAATTATATAGCAATATACCTTTATCAACTACGTACAGGGTTTACATATCTCAGATGTTTTGATATGGAATAGCATGATTTACGTATGAACAATATCTAAAAAGAGGTAAATATTTTAGTTTTTTAGTTAATGAAAAGAATATCAATATGCCTGTTTTAATTTCCTAGGTTCGTTGGTCAATACAATGACCTTGTCAGCAAATTCATACGATATTTAGTCAAATGCTGAATGGTGTTTTTATACTAATAGCTAAGCTTTCATTAAAACACTGAATTGTATTGTTTTTTCGTTGTTCGGACAAGGAGTACACGGCGGATGTCACCGGTCGGCAGGGCATGCCCATTCCTCCATGTAACCTGATCCCACCTTTGATGTTTTAGGGATCCGTGCCCTGCTTATGATTTGTATTGTTTTAATATCCTTTTGATCTTGATTACCAGGCACGTAGCAACAGGAGGAGGGGGCTGGCCCCCACTTTTTTCCCAACATTACTTATACTATAGGAAATGTTCATTGAAAAGCTGGTTGGCGCCCCAACCATAAGTGATACAAGGAAAATGTACTATTAAAATTGGTACTGAAAGTAGCTGGCATTGAAAAAAGTTGGCCTCTAACACCGCCCCCACCCCAATGAAATAGGATTCGACATTGGGCAAGTTTCTTTTTTTTGTTTTGGTATTTTTTTTTGCTTGTCAACTTTATCAAGTAAGTAAAAAGAATTCTCTGGCTCCCCCCTCCCTTCAAAAACGATGCTATGTGGCTGATTACTGTTCGTTATTTACATATACATGTATTTCATATTCGAATATGTGCTATGAAGTGATATAATCATTTATTTAAATAGCTTTTTGAGAAATGGACATGAGGCATGTTATTTCAAACTGGTACATATGATACTGCATGGAGATAACGAACGGTATTCAAATGAGGAGCAGAGCAAACTTGAGCTCTAAAAAGAGACTTGTTTATCAGAGGTCGGTAGGTATTATGGAGAAACAAGCATCCACCGGTATGATTTTGGGGCGGGTTGGGAGGAGTCCAGAAAGTCTTCGGGCGAGTGGGAGGTTTCCAGACAGTTGATCGTTAATTTCTGTTTCTGCTGTGACTGCAGGTTTATAGTTTGAGTGTTACTTAACGAAAAGATTGAATTTCCATTGGCTGGAATACGAAGCCGGTAGAAAAAATACAAAATACTTATCATACTTAAGCCTCTTGCCCATACTCGACATTTCCAATTAAACCAATTTAAAAAGTAAATAAAAACTCCTCCGCCGAATCGTAGGATTCGTAGGTCTGGTGATCTTCATATGAATAGCATGCATTTCTATACGGTAAGTTAATTTTTAACTAAAGAATAGTCGTTAATTATAATGTTTTATCGCCTTTCGGCACTGATTTTTATCCTTTGCAGATTGTTATTTTCCTCTGTACGTGTCTCCTCTCTGTCCATTGCAATAGTTGGTGGATGTGGGGCAAAAAAGGAACTGACCATTCTTGTCCAAGGAGAGGTGATTTCCAAAAACTGTTGCTTAGCTTCAACATTATAGACCAAGTATAATTTGTTGTTGTTGAAATTGTCAGATTGCCATAGTGTAGAACATATGCCAAGGTAAAATTTGGTTGAAAGCTATATATAGTGTATCTGAGCTAAAAAAAAAAATAATGATAATACGAGATTGAGTGCAAATATATTTAGTATATATATCTTATTTACGTTCAATATAAAAAAAATCCCCAATTTCGAACTTAAATAACCTCACTTTTCTGTAGTTAAATTGTTTATGAATTGTACATTATTTTAATGTTGATAATGAATTGGTTATTCAAAAATTGGTTATTCAAAGAATATTTTTTAAAAATATCTTTTACACGTAATCAGTTTAAATTGTGCTATTGAAGGTTTTATTTTTATCTAAAGTAATCAAATAATCAGAGAACTTTGTTCATATGTATCACTTAAAAAAAATTACCGGTTTCTGGATACTCAACTTTAATGACATCAAAACAAACATATTTTACAATACTGAATTTTCAGTAAGATGTTTTCTTTCTTTTTTTTTTTTTTTTGGTTTGTTTGTTTTACATGGCAAACATGAGTAATAGAATGTATAAAATTAACTAAAGTATATGTAGCTTCTAGCGCTCGCAAGTGTTGGCTATGATATAGCGTTATATATAAATGATTCGATGGTGAATTTTTTTGGGATATTCATTGAAATTGTGTTGCTGTTGATTAAACTACATCATACTAATTCTTCACCTTTTAATACACGTAGAGGCGGCCCATCCCTATTATTTTGGTAATACCCAGGTTGGTTGCCTGCTTTCGTTCCTAATAAGTCACAGGGGCAAGCGCAGTGCACCATGGAGAGGACGTTGGGACCTTGTACACCGGTTCATTTATTACAGAGGAAAATATTTTGAGTTTTTTGGTAAACGTTTTTTTTTTATTTATCTCTTTTATATCAGAAACGTTTTTACAATACTTTCCTGACAAGTTCTATTTTATCAAATAAATTCTGCAATATGATTAGTGCATTACATTGCAGAGTTTATTTGATAAAATGAATTTTGTCGTGAAGGATCTAACAAAACAAGAGGCCCATGGACCTTATAGGTCACCTGAGCATCATGTTATAGCATTCACAATTTTGAAAGAGGCACCATTGCACATCATAACTATACACTTAGCAATTGCTAAGTTTGGTTACAAAGAGTTAATGTAGAGATCCCCGCTCTAACACCAGAACTCCTAAGGCCATAAAATTCACAATTTTGGTAGAGGTACTCTTGCTCATCATTACTACGTACTTAGTTAGTTAATTTCATACCCAGAAGCAGAGAAGATTTTCAAAGAATTAATGCATTTTCACTATATAATCAATAGAGCCCCGCCCTAACACCAGAGCCCCTGACCCTGGGGGCATAGAATTCACAATTTTGGTAGAGGCACTCTTGCTCATCATAGCTATGTACTTATTTTATTTAATACCCAGGAGCATAGAAGATTTTCAAAGAATTAATGCATTTTCACAATATAATCTATATAGCCCCGGCCTAGCACTAGAACCCCTCACCCTTGGGGCCACGATTTTCACAATTCTGGTAGAGGACTCAATGCTCATTACAATCATGCCAAGAGTTTGACTGCTTGATATCCAGGAGTAAAGAAGAAGATTTTTAAAGATCGAACTAATTTTAGTGATTTTGGCCTCATCCCTCTGGCCCAGGGGGCAGGGACCATGAAATTCACAATTTATGTTCTTCTTCACCCATATATGCTTTATGTCAAAATTGGTTGAAATTGGTTGAGCGGTTGCTGAGAAAAAGCTTAAAATGTTTAAATGTTAACACACGACGTACGACGCACACTGCACACCGCACGACGATAGACAAAAACGAATAGCAATAGGTCACCTGAGTTTACTCAGGTCACCTAAAAAAGAATAATTATGGAAAATCCCACATTTGTCTTTGAGACAAATTTTACAACAAAAGTTTAAGATGAGAAAAAGGAAATTGTTCATACAAAGAGAAGAGATATAATTTTTGAATGAATTTCATGCAGCCGATTTAAAAAAAAAAGCTCATTGACCCTTTTCAATAATTCCTTAGGATGCGTATGGGCGGTTTTTGGGGGCACTAAAGAATCTCGTATGTGAGAAACTGGTCACTTATAGATTAACAAATGTTGACTTTTTTTCTTACTAGATGACTCCTCTGTAAATATTGGCTATGGCCGTGTTGGCGCACATCGATGTGGAGGCGGTATTGAAGGTTCCCCGGCCGGCTACAGCGAACTCAGTTTGGAATGTATCGAACGCTGTACCAACAGGTACACTGGTAGGTATGGAGGCTACAATCTCTTCGAGAACAACTGTAACAGCTTCGTTAACCGACTCTCAGAAGTACTTTGTAGAAGAGGTACCAAGTGTCCGTCATGGTGTGGCTGATTTCAAATCATAAAGATTAATAGGACCGGAGAGATATGATAATTTGGAATTGAATGGAGAAATGGTACAATAAAAAACGATAAAAGATCTTTTTTCAAACTGTTCTTTTATTTGGCGTTTGCCTCTTGTCATTGTAAAAAAAAATTAAAAACCTATAGACAACTCAGCGTAAAAATTATGGTTTTACAATTAGAATGAAAAACATCAGTATGCATTTTTAACTCACTGATGGATTTTATTAGCTGACATGGTCATAGTATTGACCATAGAACTTGCAACTGATGATTCTAAAGGAGACAGCTGACATTTTTGTTTCAAAAACTTGATTGTTAATGCCTTGTCTCGTTATAAAACTTGTTCGAACGAAGAGAGACGCATTCCCTTGCGTATCGTTTCAACAGAAAGACATAAACCTGAGTAATAGTAAAGGAATTGGCGATTGAAAAAAAAGAAACCATCACGTTTACCATAAAGCTTTATTGTTAGAATACCATTGATTCTTTTTCTAGTAAAATATTCAAATATGAAACAGTTGTGTGAGAATTTGTTGTATCTTCTTTTTCAAACTCACTGGATATTTCGAGTTGACTTATGATTAGAAGTAATTACTGTTAATTGATAATACGTCTCCGATAAACATATATTTAAATCTCGTGTCGAAAGCAAGTTTTTTTTCTTCTTCTCGTGTACAAAAATTTGAATAAATACATAAATAGGTCGGAAAAAATGGGGCACAAGTTGTATCCATGGAAATTGACCGATTCTTCATCGTTGCTCATCGTTGGTCTCCAAACACTAAGTTCATAGACATTGTAAATCAGAAAGTGAAACGGTTTTTTAATATTTATTTCAGAGTATGTCTGTGTGTACTAAAATGTTGTTTTTTAAAAATAATTTTGCAAAAGATCAATAACAAGGTCTGTAAATTTACTAGTTCCACTTTTAGATCATTTGAGTTTACTCAGTTTATTAAGTTAAAATTCTTTATATTAAATATAAATGCAAATAAATAAGTATAAATATAAGTGCCCTTTTCTGCTACAGAATACATATTAATTTTGTAACGAGTGTTGATATTACGACTCTAACTCTATAAATCCTGTGTTGTTTTTTTCTTTAGGATGACAATTTTATTTAATAATTATAAATTAGTCCTCTCATTCTTTGAGCAGTTTTAATAGTTTCTCCATATCTTGGAATCGCATCTATCGCTATTGTTCATTTGCCACAATACGAATTTAATCAATGGCACTGCATGTTAAAGTCCGTGTTTTAAATGTACTGTGTAATATCCCGAGGATTATGGTAAGAAATGTATTTTTTAAAGAAATGTCCATGTAAGGAGACATTCTACATATGTATATACTTTAACTTTTTTATGATAAAGTAGAAAGCTACGGAAGCCCTTTGAGGCCAGTCCAGGGAAAGAAATATTTTATTGCGCTTAAACGCAAAATTCATTGCGTTCAAACGCAAAACACTTTGCGTTTAATCGCAAAAGAACGCAATAATATTGCGATTAAACGCAATTATTAACGCAATAATATTTTTGCGTTTAATTGCAATAATTATTGCGTTTAATCGCAAAAGTATTGCGTTTAATCACAATAAATTTAGCGTTTAATCGCAATAATATTGCGTTTAAACGCAATAATTTTTTTGCATTTAAACGCAATAATCTTTGTATTTAAAAGCAAGTATTTCTATTGATCTTTGAAGAGTGCAATGGATCCACGCTGATATTTGTTTCTCCTTTTCTTTTGTACATTAATATATGAGGAGAATTATGTATTGTTAAGCTTTATAGAATCAGATTCTTTTGACACAAGCATTTTCTGAATGGTGAAATCATGGTATGGATTTAAAGAGGAGAAAGAAGGGTCGGTCTGTAAAAACACATCTTCGCTAGCCAAGGGTTTCCGATCCGATACCTACTCTGGTTGTAGATTAGGTATCGGATCGGAAACCCTTGGCTAGCGAAGATGGTAAAAACAAAGACAACCTTAGATAGAAACAAAGCTTGAGCATGCAAAACTATGCAAACAATTTTAAAGGAATTTCGAAATAAAAGACTAGAGAAGAAATAATTATGGAAAAACTATCACTCCACGTTGTCACATAGTTTACACCGTGTACCTTTACAAAGGGCTTTAGGGAAGGACTAATGAAGTGTTAAGATTTATTTATATGTACATGTACATATTATGTATACATAATGTAGGTCTGCTAATAATGGGGCGTAATTGGTACCCATGTAAATTCCAATATCTTGTTGTAAGACCTTTTCTCCGAAAAACACATAGATATTGTCAACCAGAAACTCAGGCATCTTTTTGCTGTCAACTCCAGAGTACTTGTGTGTACATTCAGAATATTTTTAAATAAAATAATGTTGCAAATGACCAATGACAAGGTAAGTACATTTAGGAGATCCATTTTTTGTAAAAGCAGCTGTCAATGATTTCAAAAAGTCTGAACTTTAATTATCGTGGGGAATGGTTGTGTATAAAGTTGAGAAGTCGTAAGTTTTTAATCTATTGATTTTGGTAAACTCTTGTGATTGCAAATTGTCTAAAAGTTCCTTGGAATTTTTAAGTATCCACAGCCTATTTACATCACTCCTTGAATATTTTGTTGCACAGTACTCTTGAAGTTCCTTCTTCACTACTGTTAGTATCTTAGTGAGAACTAAAGAAATATGATTGGTTGAAGAATTACTGAAACTCGCTATGTATAGGTATGTGTCTCACACCTTCCCCAGGCGTATTTTTGCAGCCCCGCCTTTTGATGAACCGATAGCAGCTAATGGTTCTTTGCGGAATGACACGGAACGGAACGGAACAAGTTGTGAGGCACCATATGGGGGCGGGGGAATAAAAATGAATATATATTATATAAAATAAAAATGAATATAATACGTTACTTTATTACAAATTATGCTGCCATTTTATTTTTAAAGTAACCAACCAAAAAAGTGTCAAGTGTCTGAAGTAGACGACCATACTATCATTCCAATAACAGCGTGTCACTTTGCTTAACTGAGCGTGGTAAAGTTTTACATGTTGATTACCAGGTACCATATTACTCATTGATTGGATGTTTGATTTCAATGAAAGCAATACTACTTTGCATATGAAATACAGAACCCAGCAATACCACTTACAATACTGACCAATCGTATTGAATAATTGTTCACGAGAATGCAGTAAACAATAATCACATGTGGACAGGCAAAGCAAGTTTTTATCCTTATAATGATGTATACATATGCTATATACAATATAATTTATATATTATATAGTTTCAAAATATAGCCCTCCTTATTTTATGCTTTAAATATTCTCATTTGTATCAAAATTAACTCCATTCGGTCATTGTATATTCACAACCTTTCCTTTAATCATATACAGTAAACACGATGGAATCATATGAAATAAAAAATAAATCAAATGCAAACAGATTGATCGATGTGTACTACCAAATTGAGATGGCTATTAATCCACTGAAACATTCCTAATTTGATGTGATGCCTACGGAATTGATTAATGCGTTAAAAGTGTTGGATTCTAATAGGTTTAAGAAACTTTGGCTGTTTACTTAGGATGCCATTGTTAAACTTAAAATCTCACAAACTGCAACATTTAGCAACAAGACACAGAACCAAACGGTTCTTCTTTAAAGAACCAAACCGTAGTATTCATGATAATTTTTGGCTAGCCGATGTTTGATTTCAAACTACAGAACTGAATTATTGTGTTTAAATTCAAAATAAATCCTTAAAAGGAAGGATTATTGCGATAAAATGCAGAGAGTAATGCATTTGAATTATTGCGATTAAACACAAAAAATATTGCAATTAAACGCAAAAAAATACTGCGATTAAATGCAAAAATTATTGCGATTAAACGCAAAAATTATTACGATTAAACGCAATAATTATTGCGATTAAACGCAAAAATATTTTGCGTTTAAACGCAATAATTATTGCGTTTAATCGCAATATTATTGCGTTTAATCGCAAAAGATTACGTTTAATCACAATCTTTTGTGATTAAACGCACAGTGTTTTGCGTTTAAACGCAATGATTATTGCGATTAAACGCAAAGTTTTGCGATTAAACGCAATAATTATTGCGATTAAACGCAATAAAAAATATTTCTCTTTCTGAACTGGCCTCAACGGGCTTCCGTAGTAAGCCCATTTAGGACCTATCAAAAAATATTTTTGAATACGATAGAACGAATTGCCGGGTATGACATAACAAATTAAATTCGTTATCGCTATTTCTTTCAATTTGTTATAATGGATTTTATCTGTTAAAACAAATTCAAAAAATTGTTAATATGAATTAAATTCGATTTAACGAATTCTTAAACTTTTAATTACGATTTCTTAATTGTTATAACGAATTTAATTCTTTTAAAAGAATTCTTCAATTTGTTACAATGAATTGAATTCGTTAAAACGAATTCGACAAATCGTTATTTCAAATTCTTAACGAATTTAATTCCCTTTAACAAATTTTTTAAAATATATTATGACAAATTTCAGAATTCGTTTTCACAATTTTTAGTTCACCTGAGCCGAAGCTCAAGTGAGATTTTCTGATCAAAATTTGTCCGTCGTCTGTCGTTGTCTTCGTCGGCGTAAACTTTTCACATTTTCATCTTCTTCTCAGGAACCACTGGGCCAATTTCAACCAAACTTGGCACAAAGTATCCTTGGGTAAAGGGAATTCAAGTTTTTTTCAAATGAAGGGCCACGCCTTTTTCCAAGGGGAGATAATCATGAATTTGTTAAAAATTAATGGCATTTTAAAAAATCTTCTTCACAAGAACCACTGAGCCAGGAAAGATGAAACTCATGTGGAAGCATCCTCAGGTAGTGTAGATTAAAGTTTGTTCAAATCATGACCCCCGCGGGGCAAGGGTGGGGCCAAAATGGCCGACCCAAGTTTTACATAGGAATATATAGGAAAAATCTTCAAAAATCTTCTTCTCCAGAACCACTGGGCCAGGAAAGATGAAACTCATGTGGAATCATCTTCAAGTAGTGTAGATTAAAGTTTGTTCAAATCATGACCCCCGG